GGCACGGCGAGGTGCTCCGGCCGGTGTGGGACGGTTACACAACGGCCCTGCGTGTCCCCCCCTCCCCGCCTGACTCCCCTCCCGCCGCGGGCGCCACAAACCTCCACAAAAATCCCAGCAATTAGGGAAAAACCGTTTCTCGGCACATTCTGTGCCTGTGAGGTCAGGGCGCCTCCCACCCCCGGGGGCGTGCGGGTGGGATCGCCGCGGCCCTTAACCGTGCAGTGGCCTGGCCCCGCACAGAGCCGGCAGCCCGGGTGGGTCAGGATTTGTTCCACAGTGATGCTGAGCCCTACAGTATCCAGGGTATGCAGAGCAGGGAGTTTGGCTGGATCAGGATACGACCTGAAGGGATGCTGAGCCCCACAGATCCAAGATCTGTGCACAGGGGGCAGAGGCAGGATATTTCCTACAGTGATGCTGAGCCCCACAGATCCAGGCTCTGCAGCATGGGGAGCCTGACTGGGTCAGGATAGGACCCACAGAGATGCTGAGTCCGGCAGCAGCAGGGCTGAGCTCACCTCAAGCACCGATCCTGAGCCAGGACACATCCTGCACCCGGGCTGGCCCTGGCAGCAGCAGGGCTCACCCTCACCCCCAAGGAACCCCCCACCACCCGATGTCCACGTGTCCCCTCATCCCCAGCTCACCTTGAAGCCGATGTCCCGCTTCTTGCAGCACATACAGGTCAACATAAGGGAGATGACCAGCTGACTGCCCCTGCCACGACGGCCAGCGAGGAGGACCAGGAGAGCTCGCGAAGGGGGGTGCCGGCTGCGGGGACAGGCGGGGCGCGGGCTCAGGGTGGGGGAACACGGGGAGGGATAATGCTGCATCAGGGGAGCCTGCCCAGGCAGGGGTCAGGGGATGTGGGGGCACAGGAGGGCAGGCTGGGGCTTTGGCAGGGGGGAGCAGGGATCCCAGCACCGCTGTGCTCCCTTTGCTGGTTCAGGATGGGTGGGAGGCCGAGGAGGGACCCTAGAGCTGAGGCAGGACCCTGGTGGCACCTGCAGGGAGGGGGACAGGGGCAGAGTGCCCGTGGAATGTGGGGGCACAGGAGGGCAGGCTGGGGCTTTGGCAGGGGGGAGCAGGGATCCCAGCACCGCTGTGCTCCCTTTGCTGGTTCAGGATGGGTGGGAGGCCGAGGAGGGACCCTAGAGCTGAGGCAGGACCCTGGTGGCACCTGCAGGGAGGGGGACAGGGGCAGAGTGCCCGTGGATGTAGGGTGGCAATGACACCCTGTGGAGAGGGGGCTGCACTGGCTCGAGGGCCCC